CTCGGCAACCTCTCCTCTCCCATCCCGCACATGCGATACTGCCAGGTCAGCTTCCTCGCGTCTCTTCCCGACCGTAGGGATTGGATCCCCAATTCTGCCCTCACGGCTGCATTACTTGTGCGCCTGGAGCATCCTAGGATGGTTTTCGCTGCTTTCATCTGCGCCGCCTCGAGTTCTTTCACTACCTTCTTATTTCCTTCCCATACTTCTCCGGCGTACTCTAGCGGCGGTACGATTACGCTCTTCAAAACCGTCAATTTGATGCGTGTATCGAGGTGCCGGTTTGCGAGTATTGGGTGCAGCTTCCCTGCTCGTGCTTTGCCCTTTTCCGCTACCTTGGACATGTGTGCATTCCACGGGGGGGGCGGCTTGTTTTACAACGTCGTTGCCAGGCGACGAAAACCCAACCCCGATGGCAAACACCGGGGGGGGCGGTGGGGGGGGTTATAGTCCCCCCCGGAGAATCCACGGATCAGGCCTGCCCGCAGTTCATGCTCGATGCGCACCGCTCGACAGCGGGAAGCCCAGACAATGTGGTGCAAGACATTGTATTTAGAGAACGGACGGAAGAAGTGGACACAGGACTGATCGACTGTCCCACCCCCCCGCCCTGATACAAGTGTACAACATGCAAGTAGTCTACATACAGGGTGTAGTTCAAACCGCAACCGCTTTTTTTGGTTGCGAACCGACCTTGTCGGTTCTATTTGTGCGCTGTCATCGCGTTTGTGGTGGTTCTTTTCATACGTCCTGCTTTTGTTTTCGTATGCATCGGTAAGTTTATAGACTACAGCTTTTGGGGGGTTGGCCTGTACCGTGTACGGATTTTTTAAATTTCGCTTTAAGGTAACTTGAAAGAGCAAGGCCGGAACGGTGTTAAATGTGTGAAGCCGTCGTCTCTAACCTCTTTCGTGGTGCAGTACCAACGTAGGCTTTTGAGGGTGCGCCAAGTTTCTATCGCGCACCACACACGCACCACACAAAATACCGTGCACAACAACTGCTGTCCTACTGTTTGTGGAACGTAGACCCTCTGCGACTTTCCTCTCTGTAACCCCAACCCTACCTCATGGAACCAACCCACCGCCAGGGCGCCTTGGCAGGACTTTCGATCAGAGCCTTCACCTACAGGAGGTAGCGGAGAAGCATGGCGGCAGACACAACAACGACAACGGATACGAGAACAACCACCGTCGATGCCACACAAGTGCTGAGCGACTTCAGCGAGGTCGTCGCCTCGCTCAAGGCTTCCTGCCAAGCCGACGTGACCACGTCCGCCTTGTCATCGGTGATGGGAAAGCTCAAGATCATGGCCAACGCCGTCGCCGCTCTGGACGCCTCCCCGTCTCTCAAGAGCATGCAGCTCGGCTCCGACATGGCCGAGCTGGCGCTGCTCTGTCTCCCCCCCGACACGAAGGACGTTCTGCTGAGCAGCGGCTGCTCGAGCGACCTGGCTCTGGAGCTTGTATGCCGCAACCTCACCAAGCTGCCGGCCCTAGCAAAGACTCTATACAAGGTGTGACACGCTGTCGTGGCGAAAGTGTTGTTTTTTTTTTCGTGCATATTTTCCGCGTTTCGAGCGACCCTCGTTAAGCTTCCCGGCCCGAACATGAACGGCGCACGTCTCGCGCCAAGTATTAGGAGGGGCAGACATCCCTGATCCTGCATTTCGGCGCGCAGTGGTTCGCCTCACTCACATGTGCCGTACTGGGGCGGAGGTGCTGTTGCAGTACAAGTACCAATGCATTTCAACCCCACACCCCTCCCCTGGAAGGGCTTCCCCGTAAAATCCACGTCCTTAGTCTCCCATCCCTGAGCGTAGTACGCCGCCAGAAAATCTTGCCTCTTTTCTATGCGAAGGGTCGAGAGCGCCGCGCCCCGCCCCAGAAGAAGACCACGCGTTCCGGCGTTGCAGATCGAGCCTTTGAGGCGCGCGGGGGTACGGACGGAACGGCAACATTGGTGCCGCGTGTTGTCGTAGAAAGGACTCGCGGTGGGATTCGTTCGAGATTTTTCTGGTTCACGGTTGTTGCACCGAAAAGGCGTTCTCATTGCACGGCCCGGCTGCTGTGCCGTGTGCAGACGCCTCTTTTCGTACCCCCTCCCCCCCCCCCCCCCCCCCCCCCCCCCCCCCCCCCCCCCCCCCCCCCCCCNNNCCCTTGTTTTTGACAGGCCACGCCGGAGGAGTTGGCCGCCGACAAGGGCCTCCACACTCTGCACAGCCAGCTGGGTGGGTACCCTCCGCGCAGGGGGCGGCTCGGTTGATGATTCCGTCGTTATCTTAAGATTCCTGGTTCTTGGCGAGTAAGTAGAAGGTTGCGTGGTGGTTTTCCACCCGTGCGGAGGCCGGCCTCGCGAAATATCTCTCTCACCTCACAAGGCCATGCTCAAGTTCTCGGCCTCAACTCTTCTGTTCCTCTTTCTCTCTCTGACTGTCTCTCCCTCTCTCGCTTTGTCTCTCTCTTGTCTCTCTCCCTTTCTCTCTCTCTCTCTCTCTCTCTCTATCTCTCTCTCTCTGTCTGTCTATCTCTACCTCTATCGATATAAATTAATGTATCCCCCCTCCCCTCTCCCCCCCCCCCCC